CTACTACGAATATCTGTGATAAAAAATTTCAGCATTTTGTTTTTATTTGTTGTAATAGGAATAAATTGTATTCACTTTTCATCAGACATCACTTTTCATCATCTATTATGAACCCGTACGCACGCAACAATACCTTATTCTCACATCACAGTGCATTTTGAATAAAAAAAAGTTTGAACAATGAGTCAGATCAGAAACTGATCCCTCTTATGTCCGGTCACATTATTTGCCAAAGTTATGGCCATTATTATTTTCCGTAGCATTCTTTGTCAAACTTACGGCCATTATTATTTTCTGTTATTTGCCGTCACATTATTTGCCAAATTTATACATTATATGCCAAACTTATTTGCCATATTTCTGACATTTTAAGCTCGCTTATCAAAATAATTCTATCGGGTAATTGTTTTTACGCAGTTGTAGTTACCTAAAATAATGCGGCGAAAAATCTGTGACAGATACAAAAGAGGTATTCTGCCAATGATTCCAGAAATGCCGGAATCGATGGAGAAAATGTAGATGTTTCGATAGGTGTTACAACGAAGATGAGTATTTTACATTTTAAATAGCACTGTACTGTAATTGGTGTGCGTCAAAATTTTGAACAGATATTTCGTTACTAACAACGTTAGGTTAATCGATTAAAACTAAGCACACTGCTCGTAAAATTAAAGATTATTGACGGAAATAAAACTAAGTGAAAAACCGTTAATTAGTATGAAAGCAATATTTAAAATAAATTACCGTGTTTTTCCTGGTAATTGGTCTCAAAATATTAAATTTATAATCAAAAGTATGGAACTTTAAAAAGATAGATCATTCTTTAATACAGTATACTGTAATGTCCCACAGAAATGCACACTTCACGTTTTGATTTTGAAAACTTTGCAAAACTTTTGATCAACGATATCGTGATTTTGCACGAATTCTTCTAAATATCCACTTTTTACATCTTAGGTTTTGCCTTAAGCCATACCAGCAATACCATCCTTCTTTTTATTTTTAGCCAAAAGGGCTTTACCCCAGAAGGATAAGGATAAGGAACGGGGGACGTGGGCACTATGCCTCTACCATACGGTTAATTAGTATAGCACCACGTCCACCATGATCTAGAGAACCCTTAAGACAACACTAATTCAAATACGTGAGTACATTATTGAAAATGAATGATTGATTACAAACAATTGTGGTATACCTTGGCAGTAAAATTGTTGCATTTGTGTAAATAACAAGTTGCATTTGTGTAAATAACAAGTTACGATAAAGACAAAAATGTAGTGATAGTCTGTAAAGTGCTAACGATTAGTATTCCAATTTACCCCAGAAGGGCTATTAATTTCGTTTTGGCATTTTGCGTTGGTTCACGATAAATGTCGTTTACTTTTCAAATTGTTGCCACCAAATATTATCGCCCTGTATTATATTTAAAGAAATGAAATAATGAACAATCTGCATAAGTGTATGTATGTTTCGCATTGTGATAAACTTCTCGCATGAGAATTTCCGATACACATAAACAACATAAAATTCAATTCAACAGTATCACAAAATATTTAAAAGAACATATCTTTAGAATTTCCGATACACATTTTCACGCGCTGGAGATACAAATGTTTTTTTTTTTTTTTTTTTTTTTTTTTTTTTTTTTGTTTTGTTTTGTTTTGTACAGTGTTGCCATTGCTCGTTTTGAAATCGTTGAGTTTGTTAATCAAAAATTCGTTAACGTTTTACAAAATACGAAATAGATAATAAAACAAATTCCAAATTTGGGCATACAGATGTCCATATTCGGGTGGAAACGTACGTTATTCAGAATTTGATGGCTCTAGGTACCGTTGTTTCCACGATGCGAGAAACATACATACATTCATGCAGATTCTTCATTAGTTAATTTCTTTAAATATAATGCAGGGCTGTAATATTTGGTGGCAACAATTTGGAAAGTGGAACAACGATTGTAGTGAATCAACGCAAAATGCCGAAACGAATTAATAGTCCCTTCTGGGCAGATTGTCCCTTTGGATTAAACAAGTTCGAGCGAATTGTGTATCTGCTGTTCTAGATGATTTGACGAAATTCAATTTGCGTTTTTTCATGTCTCGAAAGCGCAACTTTGGATATATATTAGATTTTCATATCCAATTGTTCTAAAATACAAACTTTTTTTAAAGAAATGTTATTTTCAGTTAATATAAGTAAATCAAAGTAACTTAACATGTACCTGCAGCCAGAAGTTTGCCATCCCTGTAGGCTAAGTGTCACGGAAGCAAATTTTCATTGTATTTCCATTCGGTGGCAATACCTTGGCAAAGAATGCCGCAAGTTCATTAGAAATAGTTTCCAAATTTTGAGGTGAAATATCCAAATAGGATTGATGGAAAGATAAGTCAAACAACTTTAAATGCCCAGCCTGTTCTGTCGTTTATTTTGTCGTTTGAAACACCTTTGAAATTTGGGATTTTAAAACCATTTTCTTTTACACAGTCTGTTAACCAAAAGTGCACAATTTTTACAATTTGTTTTTTATTTTTAAGGTATTTGACTGCAATTTGGTCATAATTACTCCTTTTTGGTAAAAGTTTCATAAATTCGGTAGCATTCTGAATTGTCTATTGAAGGTTTTTTAAGGAAAATACTTTATTTCTGCATGTTTCTGAACAAGAAACATCAAACAAAAAAAAACAAAAACACACCTTAAACAAACAAAAAAAATAAACATTAGTTTTACTGTTTATTTCAATAGCCTAATTAAAGAGCTTTGCTTTAGTTTTTAAATTTCTGAAAACAGTAAAAGGCAAAACTGGCTCTCTAAAAAAAGGGACGATGGGACTTGAATGTATAGCTTTTAATCTTTTGTTTTTAGCATTCTTTTTATTCCATAAACAAGAAGCAACACAAGTATAACGTTTAATATTTATTTTAAGTAAAAAGATGACGATTTTTGATTTAGTTTCTAATTTTTGAGAAAAACAAAAAACAAAAATGGCTATCTGAAACGGTACGATGGGATATGAATACACAGGTTTTAATTTACTTTATTCCTATCATATTAGTCTTTTTATTGCAGTTTATTTTCTAGTTTCGTCTTATTTATGATTCTTTCCTTTTCTAATATTTCAAAACTATATACACTAACGCACACAGTTTGTGTTCATGTTTCTAAGCTATTGTATATCAAATACAATACCAGAATTTAAGAATAGACTTCATTTCGGTATGTTTTAAATCCAATTTCTTGTTATGAAAAGGATCCTTTTTCTGGGTATCTTTTTGTTCTGAAAAACAATTTTTTTCATTTAGCTGAAGTCTTAACTTATAAAAGTTTTCTGTTTCTGGTATTTTCTGTCTCTGAAGAAAGAATTGTTTTCCTTTAATATTTTAACTTGTTTAATTCAGTCTTTTCAAAACTACGCAATAAACAGATTATTCTTTTGCTTGGGTTTTTTTTTTATTTTTCATTTCATATTATATGCTTCGTGTGGTTTCTATAACAAGACATTTATAAGTAAGACTTAAGTTTTTCATTTGTATAACCAAATGCATAATGTTTATTTAGGCGAGCAGTTTACATTTGGGTTTGAAAACACTTTGAACATATTTGAACATATCCAAATATCTCAACGTTATTCTGTTTGTTTTAAAGAGCATTTAGCGTTATTTTCCTTTCCTAAATCTGATGGGGACACCACATAATTTCCTTGTACCGCCTATTAAATAATGCACATTTTTTGCTGCATTGCATTTAAACTTTCTTCCTTGAATTTAAATTGGAGATATATTTCTCCTTCAGTCATTTCAGTTCTCACATCGGCAAGGAAAAAATACATAAAATCTCCAAACATCTTCATTAAAGATTGAAAAATATAGAAGAATATAAAACACCAAATACAGCTAAAACAGTTAATAAAAAACAATTTAGTTTTTACGCAAGCAATTCGGCAGCGTGTAAGAAGGCCCATTTTTAGCCAATGTAGTTCAGAAAGCCGTTGTCTAGATTAGGTTATTCATAATGGTCTGCATTAATTTATGTAAATGTGACCAAACTAAAAATATATAAAAACATAAAATAGCAAATACAGTTAAAACAGTTGCAGAAGCAATTTACTTTGTATGCAAAAGCAAGCAATTCGGCTAACGGGTAAGAAGGTACATTTTTAGCCAACGTAGTTCGGAAATCCGTTATTTAGATTAGGTTATTCTTTATTTAGATTAGGTTATTCTTTATTTAGATTAGGTTATTCTTTATTTAGATTAGGTCATTCGTTATTTAGATTAGGTTATCATTATTGGAAATTATTAGATTAGGTTATTATTGGTCTCTATTAATTTATGTAATATGTACCAAACTAAAAATATAGAAAAACATAAAACACAAAATACAGTTAAAACAATTAATAAAAAAGCAATTTAGTTTCTACGCAAAAACAAGCAATTCGGCAGCGTGTAAGAAGGCCCATTTTTAGCCAATGTAGTTCAGAAAGCCGTTCTCTGGATTATGTTATTCATAATAGTCTGCATTAATTTATGTAAATGTGACCAAACTAAAAATATATAAAAACATAAAATAGCAAATACAGTTAAAACAGTTGCAGAAGCAATTTACTTTGTACGCAAAAGCAAGCAATTCGGCTAACGAGTAAGAAGGCACATTTTTAGCCAACGTAGTTCGGAAATCCGTTATTTAGATTAGGTTATTCGTTATTTAGTTATCATTATTGGAAATTATTAGATTAGGTTATTATTGTTCTGTCTTAATTTATGTAAATGTGACCAAACTAAAAATATATAAAAACATAAAACATCAAATACAGTTAAAACAATTAAAAAAGCAATTTAGTTTCTACGCAAAAACAAGCAATTCAGCCAGCGTGTAAGAAGGCACATTTTTAGCCAAATGTAGTTCAGAAATCCGTTGTCTAGATTAGGTTATTCATAATGTTCTGCATTAATTTATGTATATGTGTCCAAACCACTTATGATAATTTTTCTAACTCTTGCAGTGACATGGAGCTGGAGAAGATATATCCCCTTGTTCTCGTCGCTTTAGTTGTTGCCTGTTATAGCAACTCACTCAGCTGTGATTTGGTGTTCGACGACCTTCCAGCCATTCGGGACAACAGAGACATCAGACCCCACACTCCTATTCGAAATATCTTTCAGAATGATTTTTGGGGAACCCCTCTCAGAAAAGTAAGCTGTATTATTTTACATACTCGTAATTAGAGAATGTACTAATAAATATTCCCAAATCCAAAGTTCAGAAGTTAATTAAAGATTTTTACTGTTCGTTTTTGCACATTTAAAAGTTTCGCCTTGGAATTTGAACCCGTGTCAGTACATGTCAAGTGTTTCCTAAAGTGATTATAAGAAAACGGAGTAAAAAAAATCTTAAGGGTGTTTTTTTTTTGGGGGGGGGCTACATTTATACCAGTCTTTCTAGTATATAATAACGGTTTTACCCGGTTTTTATTTAACTTGTTTGTCTGTTTGTTTGGTTTAAAACTTGAAGTTAGTTTTTCGCTCCCCATTTTTTTTTTTTTTTTTTTTTTTTTTTTTTTTTTTTTTTTCAAATTCTACATTACACATATACATTTCACATATACTACATTTACGGTAAAGACACAATATTTCACAGGAATAGAGATATGATTTTTACTTAGGTCGCTCCGAATCGCCCCCATTGAATCTGTGACTTGTACCGAAGGGCCTGGGTTCGAATCCCGAAAGAGGTTTGGTTTCTGTGATTAAGATAAGCCTCAACGGCTATCTGCCTAAGGAGAGGGATGTCTTCGTGAAAGATTTTCTAAGGGAAATTGGCTCGTATACACGTTACACATGGGGAAAACTATGAAAACGCCCATGCAGCCAGCCCTTTCGTGGGATTCGAACCTCGGTACCAACAACCAGTCTTCAGCGACTTTTCCGCTCGGACGTTGGTGGGCCCCCTTAAAAGGCATGGATGAAATTTGGTAATTCAATGGAGGCAATGATGGCCCACTTATTAGGTGCCTTCATAATACATAGACCATTCCGACCTTAGTAATGGCCAACGCCTATAAACGGCTAGAACCGACCGTTCTGGGAAAAAGAATATTTTTTATTTGGGGTTGAATTTTCCACACAAGTCCTTATTTAAAACTCAAAATAATTACAAATATCCATTGAAAAATTTCGATCTTAACACTATCGTAATAATCAGGGCTGTTTAATTTACGGCCCGAGGGCGCATTCATCTTAAAGCAAGCATCAAGTAGGCCCAAGAAGCGAGCACGAATAGAGGAAAATTATCAAAACCCCATCTCAATGACTCATTTTACTGTTGCCATTTTCTGCGATACAGCTGCTCACTTCGTGGTAACTTTAACTAACTGCTGGCGTCCGGGTGGCTGACTTTTAGCATGGAAAGTAGGGTTACTTGATGCTCCCAATTGGAGCGAAGGAAATGCGTTTTGGGTAGAGTGACCGTTTAAAATCTTCTTTTAACTTTTGTGGGAATTATTTGTCTTTATTGTGATGTATTGTTTGTGTTTGCAAATATCGGGAAGTTTTGATTTCCAAATTAGTAATTCCAGCGTTTCTCATTTTCAAGCTGCAAATGATATCCAACTGTTGCTTTTAACTTCGATTAACCTTCAAACTGCAGATTGTGTTCCGGTTATCTTCAGGCATTGCCTCCTAAATACCGCGGGAGCCGAAAGTTCGTTAAAACTTTGAAAATTCATAAAAAAAGGAAGAAATTACGACAAAAAATGCAGTTTGCAAGAAAGGGATCACAGAGAAGTCGGAGGATTATTTGCAGCAAAATAATTTTAGTTTAAAATGTCACCGGTAGAGGACGCTGATGACCCAAGTAATGATAATTTAGTAATGTTCGCTTTAAGTTTTTTTATTTAAATTGTGCTTTTATAAATGGTATACATTCATTACATAAGTTTGTCTTTTGTATTTTTCAAGAGATAAAAATAATATAAAAGTGAGGCAAGGAGTAAATAAACTATACAATATTACTATAAAGTTATTACGCAAACTGGAGCTGTGACATTAATTATTATAACATTCGCCTAAGGAAAAGTTCAGAAAAAAAATTTAAGAAATTTTTTAAAAAAAAGAATCTGAATTATTGGCTGAATAATATTTCTGAAATATAATTGTATCAATAAGTAATTGCTTGCTTGTATCTTTCAGGAGCAAAGTCACAAATCCTACCGTCCATTGACAGTCCTCAGTTTTCGACTGAACTACGCCGTCCATGGTCTTTACCCTTTCGGATACCATCTAGTCAATCTCTTCCTGCATGCCTTGGTTTGCCTCCTCTTCTACAGGTGAGAACTGACAATTTACCAATTAGTCATTCCCATGTGCAAAATATTTCTCCATCTACAATTTACGGAATCACTATAAATGCAGTCACGTGAAACAGTTCAATGGAAAGAGAGTTCTGAAATCAATCTGCTCAAACCGTCAGCACTTTCCAACCTTGCTCTAAGACAGTAGCAAATGTTTAGTTCATGAGACCTAAGACAGTCTGGAAAAAAAGCTGGCTAGAGGCAATTTTGTCTCTAACGCAGCCGATGTTCAAACCATCAGCACAACCTTCAGCATTTTCCAGTCTTGTTCTATGACAATATCAAATTTTTAGTTTATAATACCTGACACAGTCTGGAAAAGAAAACTAGCTAATTGTCTAGAAACTAGCTAGAGTCAATTTTGTCTCACACAGCCGATGTTCAAACCGTCAGCACAACCTTCAGCACTTTCCAGTCTTGCTCTAGGACAATATCAAATGTTTAGTTCATGAGACTAGAGACAGTCTCGAAAAGAAAGCTGGCTAGAGTCAATTTTTGTCTCTAATGCAACCGATGTTCAAACCGTCAGCGCTTTTCAGTCTTTCTCTAGGACCATATCAAATGTTTAGTTCATAAGACCTGACACAGTCTGGAAAAGAAACCTGGCTAGAGTCAGTTTTTGTCTCTAACGCAACCGATGTTCAAACCGTCAGCGCAACCGTCAGCACTTTTCAGTCTTGCTCTAGGACGATAGCAAATGTTTAGTTCATGAGACTAGAGACAGTCTCGAAAAGAAAGCTGGCTAGAGTCAATTTTGGTCTCTAATGCAACCGATGTTCAAACCGTTAGCGCTTTCCAGTCTTTCTCTAGGACAATATCAAATGTTTAGTTCATAAGACCTGAGACAGTCTGTAAAAGAAAGCTGGCCAGAGTCAATTTTTGTCTCTAACGCAACCGATGTTCAAACAGTCAGCACAATCTTCAGCACTTTCCAGTCTTGCTCTAGGACAATATCAAATGTTTAATTCATAAGACCTGAGACAATCTGGAAAAAAGCTGGTTATAGTCAATTTTGTCTCTAACGCAACCGATGTTCAAACCGTCAGCGCAACCGTCAGCACTTTTCAGTCTTGCTGTAGGACAATAGCAAATGTTTAGTTCATGAGACCAGAGACAATCTGGAAACAAAAGCTAGCTAGAGTCAATTTCGTCTCTAACGCAGCCGATGCACAAATAATTTGTAAATGATTGGCCTATGATAAGCGTACTCGGATAAAGCTTGGAACCTGAAACATAATTATCTTGTTGAATATAAATAGCGCAATTTGGGTCTGTCTGTTACTTGTCTCTAATAGAGTGGCACCAGGTTATTTGCAAGCATATCAGGGGTAGGTTTCCAAAAGGAAATGATCTGAAGCCTGATCCTAAAAGCATATTCCGCAAAAGAAAGGACATTAAGTCTATTTACCTTAGCTAATGTATCAGTTAAATCATTTTTATAGATATGAAGGAAGAACTCACAGTAAAAGCCCCTTATAGTGTTTTCCACAGAGATTTCAATCTTAGGATAGTGTTCACTATACTACGCGCACTAGTTTTCGACTATTTAGGTAGATGCTGAATAGAGGTAAAGCTGTAGCTTAGAATCCAAACATCTGATCTTAGTCGAGATTAGAGGTCACTCAAGAATTTGAAATTCCATCCATTGCTATCAACTCTGATTTAAAAACCGAGAAGAGATTAGGTAATGTTATAACTTTGCAAAGGAAAAGTGTATCCTAGTAACTTTACAAAATGTACAACGTCTTTAATTACGTAAGCTAAGTCATCGTGACTTATATTGTTTCTAGTTAGAAAAACTAAAAATTTTCCGCAAGCTCCATGTAACAGCATAAACTTCTCTTTCATTTTCTGACCATTTCTTCTATTTTTCTTTTAGTTTCTAAATCGTAAAATTTACAGCATGTGATTTATCACAGCCATCTCCTTAAAAGAAGCAAGCACCGATTCCAATCAAAGAAACTTCCAGAAAGAGATTTATGTCTAACTAGCATTAATGAGAGCGCTTTTAAGTTTTTGAAAAGTCATTTGTAGAAGTTCAGACAGAAGTAGCTTTTCTAGTACACATTTCTTGTCTAAAATACCTATTAACTGAAAGCTGTTAACTGTATGCAGGTTCATTAGATTTATTTCAAAGCACGGAGCATGAAAAATTAACAATGCGCTGTTCAGGATTCGAAATCCAGACTCCCTAATTGGCAGCCGGGTGTGCATCCACATATTTACATTCTCCTCCACTCAGATAGTGACTGGAAGAAGTGGACCCTCTTACCATATCTTGGTCACCAAATTTTCGACCGCCACATTTTAGTTAGGATGCTCTAACTGGTGATTCGGATGATTCATTAGGAGTTTTAAGAATCAAAACGCCTGGCGTACACCACGAAAGTACGAGGTAAGGTATGAGAAAATTTCTTACTTGTAAACTGATATTTACTGCGTTGTTTTATAAGGTATTTTTCCCTTTCTTTCTGCACGTCTTTGTGGTGTAACGGTCGCACACTCGGCGCGTATTCGAGAGGTTCAAGTTAGAATCTTGGCGAGGGCATTGCTCATTTCTCAGGTATCCTGTTTCAAAAATAACTAATTTATTTACGGTGTCCGCCGATAACATCGCGGCAAAAACATCGTGGACGAAAACGTCGCGGAGAAAACAACGCAAGGTAAAAACGTCGTGCTACAAAACATCGTGGGAGAAAACATCGCAAAGAGAAAACATCGCAAAGAGAAAACATCGCAGTTCTAAAACATCGTGGTACAAAACATCGTCGTCGAAAATATCGTGGTAAAAAATAAAGTATCTACAAATCATCGCATGACGATAACATCGCAGACATGCTTTTTTCAGGTTTTAATAATTGTAAATGGATATTCCCATAATGATTTGTGAGCGCAAGGTGTAAAGAAGGATAAATTTTACTTTCACATATTTTATTAACTAATAAATTTTTGCTGAAAACGTAAGAAGGAAACTTAGGCATAGAAAATTAAATTTAACTTATAGATTATACTTTTCATGAAATATTACCAGTAAAAATTTTATAAAAATGATTTATTAATGGCCTTTGTTAGTTAACTATGTCGGCTTAAAATTCTATTAAGTGCTATAAGTTGCATTAATTTTTTATGCTTAAGTTTCCTTTTTATTTTCTCAGCAAAAATTTATTAATTAATAAAAAATCTGAAAGTAAAAATTATCCTTCTTTCCGTCTTGCGCTCACAAATCATTACGGGAATATCCATTTACACTTATTAAAGCATGCCTGAAAAAAGAATGTCTGCGATGTTATCGTCATGCGATGATTTGTAGATACTTTATTTTTTACCACGTTATTTTCGACGACGATGTTTTTAAACTGCGATGTTTTTGAACCGCTTTATTTTCGACGACGATGTTTTGTACCACGATGTTTTAGAACTCCGATGTTTTCTCTTTGCGATGTTTTCTCCCACGATGTTTTGTAGCACGACGTTTTCGCCTTGCGTTGTTTTCTCCGCGACATTTTTGTCTGCGATGTTTTTGCCGCGATGTTTTCGGCTGTAACCTTTATTTACAGTGGCGCCCGAATTAAAAGGTGGTGGATGAAGGTTTTCACTACCAGGATTTGGAGACTGCCCCCTTCAATCCCCAATCGCCCTTTAAAAAGCGGGTTATGTAAAGTTTCTTGCTTGTTCCGTGTACATATTATACCCCTTGGATTTGCCGCCAAAGCGGACAACACACAACGGCCTATGAGGAACATTACTGAGCAGCCAAAGCGGGTATATAAGATTCCTTGTTCCTGTACGCCTCTGTGGTGTAACGGCAGCACACTGGGCGCGTATTCGAGAGGTCCAGGTTCCAGTCCCGGCGATGGCATTGCTCATTGTTTAGATCTCCTGCTTCAAAAACTCATAATGAATCTACAGGTTGTCCGTTACATATTATACCCCTTGGATGTTCCGTGTACATATTATACCCCTTGGATTTGCCGCCAAAGCGGACAACACACAACGGCCTATGAGGAACATTACTGAGCAGCCAAAGCGGGTATATAAGATTCCTCGTTCCTGTACGCCTCTGTGGTGTAACGGCAGCACACTGGGCGCGTATTCGAGAGGTCCAGGTTCCAGTCCCGGCGATGGCATTGCTCATTGTTTAGATCTCCTGCTTCAAAAACTCATAATGAATCTACAGGTTGTCCGTTACATATTATACCCCTTGGATGTTCCGTGTACATATTATACCCCTTGGATTTGCCGCCAAAGCGGACAACACACAACGGCCTATGAGGAACATTACTGAGCAGCCAAAGCGGGTATATAAGATTCCTTGTTCCTGTACGCCTCTGTGGTGTAACGGCAGCACGCTGGGCGCGTATTCGAGAGGTCCAGGTTCCAGTCCCGGCGATGGCATTGCTCATTGTTTAGATCTCCTGCTTCAAAAACTCATAATGAATCTACAGGTTGTCCGTTACATATTATACCCCTTGGATGTTCCGTGAACATATTATACCCCTTGGATTTGCCGCCAAAGCGGACAACACACAACGGCCTATGAGGAACATTACTGAGCAGCCAAAGCGGGTATATAAGATTCCTCGTTCCTGTACGCCTCTGTGGTGTAACGGCAGCACACTGGGCGTGTATTCGAGAGGTCCAGGTTCCAGTCCCGGCGATGGCATTGCTCATTGTTTAGATCTCCTTGCTTAAAAAACTCATAATGAATCTACACGTTGTCCGTTACATATTATACCCCTTGGATGTTCCGTGTACATATTATACCCCTTGGATTTGCCGCCAAAGCGGACAACACAACGGCCTATGAGGAACATTACTGAGCAGCCAAAGCGGGTATATAAGATTCCTCGTTCCTGTACGCCTCTGTGGTGTAACGGCAGCACACTGGGCGCGTATTCGAGAGGTCCAGGTTCCAGTCCCGGCAATGGCATTGCTCATTGTTTAGATCTCCTGCTTCAAAAACTCATAATGAATCT